CAACTTATTCTTAAATGGTTCATGAAAAAATTATATATATAATATATGCAAAACATACATATACGTATATGAGAGAGAGAGATTTGAGTGTCCATTGTATATTCTCACAAATTTAGGAGCCATTTCATAGCTAAAAAGTTTAAAGATAACATCCTTAAAAGTTTTCAGACAGCCATAAACGGGCTACATACAAAGCATCCCTGGATATAGGTAGAAGATAAGGGAACAATATCATCCAAGTTCTGAGAGAAACTTAGTGTGCACGTAGATTTCTATATCCAGCCAACTAGAATTTAAGTGTGAGCACAAAGAGAGAAAGAGAGAGAGAGAGAAGAAAAAGTATTTTCAGTCATATAAAGACTAAGAAATTTTGCATTCCACAGATCTCCTCTGAAATAATTAGTCAAGAATATGCTCCAACAAAATGAAAACAGAATCCAAGAAAGAGGAAGATATGGAACATAAGAAACAGTGGTGTACAAAGAAATCAGGGGTCACAAGTACTCAACATTAGGGATATGAAACAATTATAAGAGAAAACCATATTTGACTTTATGCTATTAAAAATGTGTTTAGTAAATGGCTTTCTTGGACAAATGAATTATCAAAATTAACTCAAGAAGAGCAAAAATTTCAAATAAACCATTAAACCCAGACAATACTGAAAAAGTAATCAATGATTCATCCCTCATTAAAGGTCCAAATCCCAGATGGTAGTAATTTATAGTTTCACTAGTAGTAGATTTAAAAAATTTTGAGGGGCTGGCCCCATGGCTTAGCAGTTAAGTGCTTGCGCTCCGCTACTGGCGACCTGGGTTCGGATCCTGGGTGCGCACCGATGCACCGCTTCTCCAGCCATGCTGGGACAGTGTCCCACATACAGCAACTAGAAGGATGTGCAACTATGACATACAACTATCTACTGGGGCTTTGGGGAGAAAAAGGAGAAAGATTGGCAATAGATGTTATCTCAGGGCCGGTCTTCCTCAGCAAAAAAGAGGAGGATTGGCATGGATGTTAGCTCAGGGCTGATCTTCCTCACACACACACACAAAAAAAAACAAAAAAAAATTTTGAAAAAGAACAATGAAGGAGAACTTTCCCTACCAAATACTAAAACCATAATAATTAAAATATCATGGAACTGGCACAAAGATGAACAAATAAATAAATATGAAGTAGAATAGTCTGTCCAGAAATAGACCCACATTTATACTGGAACTTAGAAAGAGCACTAAGATCAATGGAAAAAGTCAATAAGTGGTGTTGGGGCGACTGGCCCCTCCTTTGAACTAAAAATTTAGATCTTTACATCACACCATATGTAAAAGTAAATTACAGATGAATTAGAGAGCTGAAAATTTTAAAACTGTGTAAGTATTAAAAGAAAATATAGACAAGACATAAACCCAAAAGACATGCAGGAAAAGATGAACAGCTTTGATTATAAAAATATTAACTTATGGAAAAATAAATTATAAACAAAATTAAAAAACATATGATATATTAAGAGATATAAGCTGTATATATAACAGACAAGTGATGAGCATCCATTATATAGAGAGAACCCTTACAAATCAACAAGAGAGACAACCCCATTTTTTAAATGAGCAAATGATATGAATAGAAAACATAAGAAGAAATACAAGTGGCCAATTAACATATGAAAATAAATTTAATCTCAGTAGTAATAAAGGAAATGAAAAATTAAACTGCAGTGAGAGATTCTATTTTCCCCCATCAGGTTAGCAAAAATTAAATATTGATGATATGAAGTTCTGGCAAAGGGGTGGGGAAATGGGTCCTCTCATTTACTGTTGGTGGAAGTGAGGTGTAAATTAGCATAGCCTTTTCAGAGGCCAATTTGGCAATGTATTGAAATATGAAATATGAGTACATACACTGTGTCCCAGTTTTCTACTTCAAAGGATCTGTCCTATACAAATAAAGGCATATTGTAAAAAAGGGAACAATTACAATCTAAATTCCTTCCTGTGGAATACTACCCATTTATTAAAAAGCATGAAATAAATCAAAATGCACTAAGATGAAAGTATCTCTAACCATACTAATGTGGCAAAGCAAGTTGTATAGCAACATATATAATATAACTAATTCTTTAAAATGCTATATATCTATTGAAATCCTACTGTATGTAAGGCTTGGTCTTTGCTACTAGGTTTATAGAATTGGAAAAAACAGATAAAGTTCGGGCTTCAGACTTTACATATCTAGTTAGGAGACAGGAGATGAGGGTGGGGCTGGGGAGGGCAAAGAGTAAACTAGTTAGCAAATATATAAGGGAGATAATTTCTAATAGTGATAAGTTCTATGAAGGCAATAACAAGTACATGGTAGGAAGGGATGCCCAGCATAAAGTCAGTGCTATCAATAAATGAGAGCGATTATCCATTTGCAGAGTACATTTGACCCCCATATATACTCTGGAATTGAAAACCCCTTCAATTCATATTGATCTCTTCTGTCTTTTAAGACATTTCAGTCAGAAAAGATACAGTATGATCAAAATTGTTCAGAGATTTTTGTGAACTGACAGAAGGCACTAAACTGAAAGTCCAACATCCAAGGTTTTCATTCTTCTTCATCCACACTAGCAGAGTTAGATCTAGAAGTCACTGAAAAAGTGGGAAAGGAGGATATTACTTGCCATTACAGCTTATAGGCGAGTTTCAGGAATATATGACTAGTTATTTTACTTTGAAAAAGTTATAGAATGGTATTTGTCTTATTAAGCAGTAGAATTATTACAGGCAGGAAGTATAAACAAAGTGGCTGTGGATTGGATTCTATTTATGCCTTTGCGTGGAAGAGGCGTATATATGAGGGAGGTAGACAGAGGAATCCAAGAAGGAACATCACACTCCCTTGCATCCTCCCCTGTTCTCATTGGAATGAAAGTTTTGGGCTCTATAGTGCTGACCACTGGACAGGGGCTACTGTGGCCCCCAGCCAAGCAGAGCCCATGGAGCAGAGAATTCCATCTCTGTGTGAATCTTCCTCTCCCCTTTGCTGCCCAAACCATACTCCATTCTCCAAGGCATTTCAATCCCACAGGAGTGTAACAGGGGCCATGTGTGCGTTCAGATGGCCCTATCCTTCAGAGTTTTGAAAAGCAGAAGGCTGTCTTGGGGGAGCCCCACTTTTGCCCCTCTCTCATCTCTTAGCCGCCTTGCTCAGACTCGCATCCTAAGGCTGACCCTGCTCAGGGGTGGGTGGCAAATGGACTGACTGCATTTGTTGCACTCTACCAGGAGGCACAATGCAAATGCTTTTAAGAGGTCAATGCCCTCCAACTGTGAAATGGTAATATGCTAAATTATGTGCTTAATTTCCACTCAACAGCATACCGTAAAATTGGAAAAGCAATTCCATCACCCAGGATCAATGTACATAAAGTACACTCCAAAGCATCAAAAGTTCTCATCAGTAAACTTGTGTTTGTGTTTTGGCTGAATATTCAGAGGTCCGTTTCTACTATAGGCTGATGAACAGTGTACAGTTAATTATCATTTAATTGCTTGTCTCTTTCTCCCTGTGTTGCTACCATATGGGTTAGAAATTATGGGAGATTTTTGCTAGTCCTCTTCAGATCAGGAATCTGATGGAAAAGCTACCATGAACATCCATCTTCTTCACAAGTGTGTTTATTTTTTGTTTATTTGTTTTGTTTTTTTAAAAAAAACATACAAAAACAATCACAGCAGGACTAGGGAAACTGAGCTAAGTGGTAACCTGGTGTAGCTGCTGTCACATGAATATTCAATGATGAGGGTTGTAACAATTTTCTTACAACTAGTCTAGAGCTGTATCTACATAATATAAATAAAACTGGATGAAAGAGTAAAAGAAACAATATAGCTACCCTTTTTACCAGACTACATAGTATTATACAACAGTTTTATAATTATTTGTATACTTTTTAAAAATTGTTTATCTCCTGTGCTTTAAGCTTCATGAAACAAAGACTATGTCTTTTTTTTCACTTCTATACCTCTAGCACCATGCCCAGTACGTGATACTTAGCTGACACTCAAGAAATATTTGTAAGTGAATGAATGAATGAGTGAGTGAATGAATGAATGACAAAGCCGGGTTTAAAACCCAGTTCTCAGGCCTCATAGGCCATTCCCATGATATCAGGATAGCCCCCTCCAGAGGCACAGATGTTCAAGGCAAAATAAAAGCCATTAACAGAGCATACCTGGGCCATGGACTATAACTCCCATTTAATTTCATATGAATTTGCGGCTGAACCAATTTGAAAATTTGTTTCCAGAAAGTATTGATTTATTCACTTGAGATCAGTCATGGTAAATACAAGTCTTAGTGGAGTGGCAGTGTATTGCGGTGGATGGCTACCCAGTACACAGCACTTTAGTTTATGGCACTTTATGGTCTCAGCAGAATAAGGCTGGATCTTGATGCCAGGCTCTTTCCTCATAGAAGGATATACTGAAGGAGGTTGGAGAGCCAAGGAAATGGAAGGCAGGTCCACGATCTCGTTGCTTCCCACAGGCTGAGAGAACCAGTGTCAGGATCAGAGAGGAAGCCAGTAGCTCCCATTCTTCCTGCTGGGTGTCACCTGCTCCTGGCCCTCTTACTGCCTCTGCATCTGAGGACCGAAAAGCAGCATGATTTCACAGGCCGAATCCCCCTTCCCAAGCTAACCTGACCTGACTTACCAAGAATGGGTTACAACGCACCAATACTCCAAAGACAGGACCCTTACTTTTATCTTGATCTTCAGGTTGCATTGACCTCAAGCTGTCTTGCCTAGAATGTTGTAAAACATGCTACACACACACACATGTATACATACATATATATACAAATTATTTTAGTATGAAGAAAGTTATTGAGGTTAATGGAGCACTTGACTCAAAGCACAGCCAAGTTTTGCGATGATATCTTGGGTATAGAACTTGAATTTATGGTTTCTTATCCCCTTCTCTTTACCGACACCACCACCCCCTCCTTAGGGAAGGAGCCTGGCGGGGGAACCAAGAGTTTGGATTGCAAAATCGAGGAGAGTGCTGAAACACCTGCTCTAGAGGACTCCTCCTCATCTCCCGTAGACATTCAGCAACATTCCTGGCAGGTTTCCACAGACATCGAGAACACCGAAAGGTAAGTGGAAAGTTGCCCTAAATAGACAGCCAATCCTCTTCCAGTTAACACTCTTAGGGCTACAGAGAGTCGAGATTTTCTCTTTCAGATTCAGAAACAGGCTCTCAGAAAACTGAGAGAAAGTAAGGAGCCCAAGCCCTGCAGAGGAATGGTAGCAAAACCTCCAGCAGACGCAGGCTCCCAGGCCTCTGTTTATTCCCCTCCACCACAGTGTGTCTCCATGGAAATGAAAACAGTGTGCTTCCCTGGGAAGGGAGAAAGTTGGATCTACATACCATCACAGCTCACCCACTGGGCTGGGTCCCAAGATTTCCATTTGTTTAAGGGAGAAGAATCTGAAATCATGCCAAGATGCCTCCAGTAGCTTCTCGGGTTTCAGGTGTATGGAATGGCTTGCTTAGCTGCCAGTCAGGGGCATTCTGTCCAGTTCAAACAGCTATCCCCAGTGCTCCCTTCTCTTACTCTCCCAGAATGGAGCTGATAGCCCCTTGGTGGTCAAAGTGAGTTAATGCATTTGTCTTAACAACCAGTAGCTCATTGCTAGAGGAGGAGTTTCTTTCTTGAGAAGATGAGACTCTATTTTGTTTTGGAAAAGGGAGCAATAATAATATAATAAGTGCCATGTCTCATCTAGATACTAAAAATGCCTTCTGTGAGGCAGAAGGACGAGGCCCTTGTTTATTGGCCTTTACACTGGTATCTTGGCCTTTGCTACTAATGTCCCCAGAGCCCGCACAAAGCAGCTGTGGGAATACTGGGCAATCCCACCGGGTGCTCTGTGTATGTGGTGTTGAGTCATTGACAAGATAATGAACACTTTATTTTTTTATTTTTAGAAATGTAACACACAATGGCATTTTATAGCCATTGTGGCTCTACTTTCAGATTGTAATATAATTCTAAAGCTAATTACCAAATTTCTGTGTTTATAGAAAATTGAAGCATGTGGTAATTATGTGCTATTAATAAAACTTGGATTTTGTGTAAGCTTGGAAATCAAACAATTCAAACAATAAAGCTGTTTGGCACAGTTTGATAGAACTATAGACAAATGATGAGGGAACGATTTATCTTAATTTATAAAATAAAAAATGCTTTGCTCTATTCCCAGGAACAAATATCTGCCTTGGTCAGGGCACAATCCATCAGCAAAGCCATTTTCCTCTTCAGAAACCTTGCGCAGCAGCTATATCCAAGCCTCGTAGCCTTGTAAGCAAGCAAGCTATGGCTGCAATAAGAATGGGAGCACGTAGCCCAGTGTTGGCAGTGTTTCAGTTCTGCCTGAGAGTCCCGATTGGGGTCAAAGGTGGTGGGAATGGCTGAGAGAAGTAGGCACAGCAGACCTGGTCTGGGAGGGCGGCTTCCTCAGTCCTCCCTGCCTCTCTGCACTAAGAGATCAGTGAGTCTCAAACTGGGCTGCACATTAAAATCACCAGAAGAGCTTTTTAAAAACATTGATGCTTGGGCCCCACCATAAGCTAACCAAATCAGACTCTCGTGGGGTGGCTCCTGGGCATCGGGTGATTCTCCTGTGCGGCAGCCAAGGCTGAGACTTGGCAGTTTCCAGGGAGACCTTGCCTCAGTCTCACACACTGCATTACTAGCCCTTTCCACCTTGTGCCTGCCCGCCTCCCACCATCCCATCTGCCCTTGAGAATCTTACGTGAAAATAGAATGTGCCCCTTCCACTTCTGGATATAGAGCCCTGTCCTCCTCTCTCCCCCTCCCCTACTCTCACCTTCCTTTTCTAGAAATACCCTTTGGGGCTTATCAGCATGTGCTGCCCCACAGACACAGCCTCATATTTGTAGGAAAGTATTCTGAATGTTTTTACAGGTGTATTTCTACAGATCCACAAGGCTGCTTTCCCCTCCTTTTCCATTCAGCCATTCCCAAGACTAGAGTTCCTTTTCACATGTTAGTCAATCCTTGAAGAGGACACCCCATACGGTCTCCCCTAAGACAGTGGTCCTCACCCACACTCAATAGAACAGTTGTATTTCGTGAAACGGACTGAGGAGTTTCATACCTAAAACTGGATGGTGGCTCTCTTTCCTCAAATGGCAGAAGAAAAATAAGTCAGTGGAAAAGAATTTGCTCAACTTTAGGATTATCTTCTCCAAAAAACTTTCTCAAACCCTTGGTGCCTGCCTATTCTAGAGTTAACTAAAAGATGTATCTAATTTTTGCTCTTTTAAATGAAATCTACCCGTCCTGGGATTTCGAGAGCTCTGATTCCAGTGGAGGGCCATCTGAACATGCAGGGAACCACTCTCCTGAGGATTTGAAAAGTCCAACTCGCCTCTTACCCCAGACTAGAAACCCACTGAGCTGGCTTCCTGCTCTGCAGCTCTGTGGTTTTATGATCATATGTACTCTGAGACCAGGGAGGATGTTAGAGGTATGCAGTGGCGTACATACATGCCAGTGGCTAGAGGAAGGCCCAGCTGGCCCAGGCGCTTCTCTCTCTTTCATCTGCTGTGAAGAGCTCTTCTGTGAAGGTTTCAGAATTTGTCATACTCTCCCATTATTCCAAGTGAGTTTAATAAGTGTTGGCCCTTGTGAATGCTTGACACCTGTGTTATGGCAAATTCCAATCACGGTAATGAGAGATTTTTAAAACCAAGCAGACAACAGGAGTGAACCCACATAACCATGACAGCCGTCTGACTGGAAAAGCCGTGAGAACACCATCGCCTGGTATCAGCTTTGCCCAGAGCACTCCGGTTATCCTAGTTGTGTGTCCTTCACCTCCTCTTGGGAACCTGAAGAACTGTCCTCATTACTGGAGACTTCTCTAATCTCAGTCAGGTTCCTCTGAAGACAGAGATGAGGGCTCCTGCAGCAGAGTGCCCTGTGGACATATTTGCCAGAGTAGTTCGCATTCCTACCACAGCCAACCCATCTCAGATTTTTTTTCTTATAAAAGCAAAATAAATTCAATATTTGCCCAGTGGAAACTAGAGCTAGTACAGTTAGGCACAGATTCTCGTCCTTCAGTTGTCTCATAGAACAGACTGTTTGAGATTGCATTTCAAAAATTTACAGCTGGTTATTTTTTCTTTTTTATCAATTTTACAGAGACATGCGAGAAATGAAAAACCTTTTAAGCAAACTCAGGGAAACTATGCCTTTACCATTGAAAAATCAAGGTGAGTCTTGTCATTTCTCTTTGAGGCAGAGGATGTTTTTAACATGATAACGTTGGGACTTGTTTCTTGAGAAATTAAGGCAAGTTTTTTTACACAATAGCAGGCATTGAGCATACAGGTGTCTTTCCTCGAGAAGATATGATAATGAGAATGGAGCCCCTCAGGTGAACACGGTTTTGCTCTGAGGAGCTGAGATACACTCTGACCTCAAAACAGGTGCCTCCTCTGCTGGCCCTGTCAGTCAAGAGCATTTGGTCGTTGCCCACACTGTGGAAAGCCCTATACCAGGCATGGCAAACACGAAAGGACTGAAGACTTAGCGCTTGCCTTTAAGAAGTTTACAGGCTAGTGGAGGAGACTTAAGAACACTCCAAAGAAAGATCCCTGCCATCTAGATGTTTAGTTATCTAAAAGAAGTAATAATTAGCATATTTTGAGAAATGACAGTGTGCCACTATGGTTCTGCATCCAATTCCGCTGTGTAGGGGTTTTCCACACCACCAAGCAGTTCTCAGACGCCAACTGGGTGTCCTACAATTCAACTGAATTCTGATGCTACCTGGAGATAGCATCAGATCCCACAAGTCAAGAGTTCAGTCCTACAAGACTGCCCGCCCTCGCCACTTCAGACACCAATAGCAAGTGAGGTTGTCACCTGTGCTTCTGACCAACTGGCTATAGATTGGAGGTTCCGAAGACCCCCTCCTTGGGTTCAATTAATCTGCTCGAGTGGCTCACAGAACTCAGAGAAATATTTTTTTCTTACTAGATCACCAGTTTATTATTAAAGGATATAGCTCAGGAAGAGCCCGATGGAAGAGATGCATAGGGCAAGGTAGGGGGAAAGGGTGAGGAGCTTCCATCTTTCTCTGATCCCACTCTCCTTAAATCTCCACGTGTTCAGCAACCGGGAAGCTCTTCGTTACATAGGCATGATTGATTAAATCATTGGCCGTTGGCTATTGATTCAACCTCCAGCCCGGCCTCGCCCCCTGGCCCCCCCAGGTCGGACTGGAGGGACTGAAAGTTCCAAAAATTCCAACCTTCTAATCACCTGGTTGGCTCTCCTCGCAACTAGCCCCCATCCTCGGGTGTTTTCCAAAAGCCACCTGCTTAACATAGCAAAAGACACCTTTATTGCTCTCCTCACTTAGGAAATTCCAAGGGTTTTAGGACCTCTGTGCCTGGAAAGAAGTCAAAGACAGATTATATATTTCTTATTATAAATCACAATATCACAGCCACTATTCTAAATACTTTAGATGTATTAACTATATTAAATTATTTAATTTTAATAACACTTTTGAGGGAAATGCTTTTAATGTTTCCTAATTTACAGGAAATTGAGGCACAGAGAGGTTAACTAACTTGGCCAAGGTCACACAGACTATGAGTAGAAAGTCCGGGATGTGATTCCAGGCAGTCTGTCTCCAGAATTGTCCTATGGAAGTGTCCACCCTAACACAGAAAGGGAACGGGGATATTCTCTAGAATGTAAGCTCTGGGAAGGAAGGGCTTCTGTGTGCTTTTGTGAACTATCGTGTCTTCAGTACCTAAAGCAATGCCTGGAACATAGTAGAATAACATCTGGGATGAACAATAAATGTTTGTTAACTCTGTGCCCAACTTTACGGCCGCAGGGTCTGAAGATATGTACAAAGAACTAATCATAAGCGCTTTCACTAAGCTTACATGGCCAGAGCAGCCTTAAGTGGAGCATCAACTTCAGAGAATGGTACATGGAGGGTGGGGAAAGGGTTTTTAGAGGTAAGAAAGAAACCCCTCTTGTTTCCTTAGAACAAAGCCTAGGTGGGAGGGAGGACAGGGTGCTGTTTGCCTCTGAGCGAGGAGAGACAGGAGTTGGCAGCAGAGCTGGAGCGCCTCTTGGCTCAGGGAGCAGTGTGGCAGAAGGTGGAGAGGTGGAAGTGAGAACACCAGCCGAAGGGGCTGAGTTGTAGTGTGGCCTGATCTGCATGGGATGGAGGCGGGATGTCAGAAAATAAGAGGCAGGGGATGTGGTGCATCTGGTAACTTGAAGCACCCCCTGAAGGTGCTGGTGACAGACTAACTGGCTTGAGCCATGGGTGTAGTGTTTTGGAGACCCTGTAGTGTTTTAAGAAAGCACTGATTTACTACAGCATGTTGTAGTGATGAGATCCCTCTGACCACAGCGTGCAAGTTTGTTGCTAGAAAAAAGCATGGTGGTTGGGACCAGTGACTTTGGATTAAGGCTAGCCTTAGGGTTCGAATACTGGCTCTGCCACTTACCAGCTTTATGTCCTGGAACAAGTCAACTTCTGGAAATCTCCATTTCCTCATTCCTGAAAAAAATATAATAGTATCACCTACTTCAGAGGGTTGTTGTGAGGATTAAATTAAGCAACGCATGTCATATGCCTACTACTGACCTTAGAGAAGGCAAATGCCAACAAATGCTTTATTATTAGTGTTGTTGTTGTTATTCACCAGCTGGCCTACCCAACCTAGCTCAGGAAAACTCTAACTTAGCATCATCAAATAGAACAATCCCTGCTACCACTCGCTCTGCAGCAGACTATGTGTAGTATCTGGGAAACGTTGATCTTGAGCCTGCAGTTCAGAACATTGATCCCTGAGACTTTGAATGTGGGGCTTATTTCTGAAGCTATCCTCCGTTTCTTAATGCGTTTGGCCAGTCTGCCCCTCATATTCCTCTCTCTGACTGCATATGCTGAGATAGACCATAGGGGCTTCCCCATGACCTTCCCGGAATTCTTTTCCGGTTATGGTTAATATAGAAGTGGTATGGGGTGAAATGTGGAAAAATGTGTTTCAGCTCTTTTCTGTAGGACCTTATTGTTAAAACATAATTTTAACTGGATGAAAACCATTATAGGAAGCCATCTGTTTTCTTTCTGGCTTCTTATTTCCTTTCTCTTTTTATTCCATTTACATGTTTGTTTGAAGCAGAGAGAAAAAAAGGGAAAAAATACCACTCCTGGTCCCCTTTTTCCCTACCTCAATCCCTGACCACGTGAAAATCTCGCCAGGCAAGTGGCGGGGGAGCCTACACTGGAAGCGCTCACATTCCCCCATTCACCAGGCTCCATCCTTGTCCGCAACTTAGAAGCTGTTCCCGTTTATTTTAGCATTTAAAGATTTAATCATATCTTCCCCTCTTCCTACCACAATCAAAACTTGACTCAACAACAGTTTGCTTTAAATTGATTTTCAGTGGCAAATAACGGAAGGCGGCCAAGAGCAGGAATTTGAATCGTTAGTGATTATGCCTTCATTTTAGACAGGGCCTTTTCTTTCCCATCCTTCCAGTTTAAGACTGGAGACAAAGAGGTGCACAAAAGAGTGAGCCGCCCGTGTTCTGCCGCAGCTCCGTGGCAGCCTCCCGACGACGTCCAGGTCTGCTGGCTCTCGGCCTGCTCTTCTCTCCACTGCTCCGGCGCCTCTCCTGTCCTACATTCCAGGTCACTGGCGGTGCTGTAGGGAGCTTCATTAATTATGGTAGGCTTGCTGTGTCAGATGGATTACAAATGGAACCACCTGTAGAGAGCCCACGAGGTTACTGACAAAGGCTGAAAGGAGATTGGAAAGTGAAGGACAAGCGTCTCATAAATGCATGTTGTAATCAAACAAAACAAATCAGCAGAAATAAAACAAGCCTGAAAGACAGTTTCACCTTTTCCAAAATTCTGACTTAAGAATGCTGTGGGATGTGTTGATACATTCACTCTTGCCTAGAATCCAGCTGTTGATACCACGCATTAACATCAGTCTGAAGTGGATCAGTCAGGAATTGGATCTGTTCTAGAATGGGTCCCCTCCTGTGGACAATTCTCCTCCGGACTAAATTGGGTCTAGGAACAGTTCCCCAGACTCATACCCCAACTCACTCCTATCTGGACCCCATATCCAGAACCAACCTAGCCACGTCAGGCAGAAGAGTTCTCCAATATCTGGCTGAAGAACATTGGGCAGTTATGCCATCTGCTAGCCTGGAGACAACATTTTAGGTCCTTCCCTAGGGCCTCATATAAAACTTTCTGTGCTTCAAGCTGGTGGTGTCTGAATGTTAGTCTGAGCAGTTTTTACTCCAGCAACCCCATATCCTTTATAATCTCTGCAGCCTTTTGTCCAGGATTTAGTATGACATAATCTTTCTCTCTTCTCCAATCTAATCTACACATCACTGATCACACATCAGTTTCTTAACGCATTACTCTGATTATGTTGAGCCCCTGCTCACAAATGTTAAATGTCTACTCATTGTCTACTGAAGGAAGGACATACTTCTCACCCTCGCATCCATTGTCCCCACCATCATCCAACATGTGATGGTCATCTATGATGTGCTAAGTTCTATGTCAGGTGCTGGGGATATCTCTCCCCTAGAGGCTCTCCATCTCAACAGAACAGATTGAATGAAAATTACCTGATAAGCTTTTTAAAATGACATATGCCTCCCGTTTCACAGATTGTGATGGAGTCTTCAGGGTAGGGCATGTGAATTCTGGAAACAACTAACAGACACACATACGCGCGTGCGCGCGCGCGCACACACACACACACACACACACACACAATTGGAAAGACAAAGAAATTAGCGCTTAGAATATAACAATGCCATAATAGTTAGGCACAGGTTGCTACAAGGGCATATTGGATTCTCACCTAGACAGATTTGAGTTGTAAGGTGAGGGGGTGGTATTGAGAATTGCTTTTTGGAAAGTGTCTGAGCTGAGATTTTTTTAGGATGAATCAGAGTTTGCCAAAGAAAGAGATGGAAAAAAGACAGCCTAGGCAGGAGATTCTGGATATGTGAAGGTATGTGGGGAGATGAAAGAGCAGGGCATTTCAGTGAACTACAAGCACTTCATTAGTTGGAAAAGTGGTTAGAAAAGAGGCTTAAGGGAGAGACTAGAGAGGTAGATGGGCCTATATCATTAAGGCCCCTGTAAGCCATGTTAAGTGGTTTGGACTTTATCCTGAAGCCATTGGAGGGATTC